GAACTTAGCGCACCTTTTTTTAAAAGTCTATTTTTTTGTATTTAATGACCGGAACTATTTAAAATTGTTGCATAGAGCTCTAGAACTTTTCAAGAGAGTATCAGAACTCTAAAAAAAATGTCACATTTTTAAATATGGTGTGCCAAGTTCACACAAGTTTACTTTGCCGACGCACGTTCTTCGCGATCTCGCGGCCATACGGTGTGTTACTGTAAACTGGCTGGCCGGCGACTCGGTAAGATAAGCTTTTAAAATATGCAACGAATTCGCGGGTCGCGTTTGAAATTAGCGACAATACTCCGGCCGGTTCGCGGAGAGCCCTTAATCATCGTGTTTTCGTATTTTTACGTGAGATATCGCGGATTTAATTAATCCGAGTAAAATATTGCGGAAATTCGCCCGAGGCCTGAGAGCCACAACGAAGTTCTTATCGTGTCGCGTTCCGTCGCGTCCTATCGCATCGCTTCGGCCGCACTCGAGAAATCGAGAACGGATTATTTGCAGCCCCCCCGTTTCTCTCTCTTTCTCTGTTTCCTCTCTCACCCCTTTACTTCCTCACTCTCTCATACTCTGATACTTTCGCTCCCTTTACTCCCTTTACTCCCACACACTCTTTCTCTTTCTTACTCTCCTATTTCAACACTCTTTTACTCTTTCACTTTCCCATTCCCTCACTTCCTCATTTTCTCATTACCTCATTCTCTTATTCCCTCACTCTCTTGCTCATTTATTCTTTCACTCTCTTAGTCCCTCATTCTCTCACTCCCTCTCTTTCTCTCTCGCTTGCTCGCTCACTCTTTCGCGCGGTTAACAATCGACTTAACCGTGGGAATCTCTAACGCTCTCGGTGGCGCGTTGTGTAGAGCCGCAGTTACGAGTACGGCATATCCATCCTTGAACGCACGAGCGACGTATGATTTTCATACAAGCGGACGAGGATCATATCGCGAAGACTCTTTTTGACACGCAGTTGTTACGCGGGACGCGGAGAGCCCGCAATCTTTGCGGCGAAACAAAGGTGAGTTGTGTTCTTGCGCTTTAAGTTTTGAACGTGAAGCTCGCGTAATTACAACAGTCGGCATCGGGAAAGACGCCTCCCCACGTAATTATCTTCTTGCTCCGCCGTAAAACTGTATTTCCGTATGTAATTATAAACGCGACCTTATTCTCAAGCACAGATTCTCGCGGATTCCCCGGCGGCGGTGTACAATCTTGACATGTAGTCGGGGCACCCAATCTCGCGATGTGATTTCACGTTTAATGCGAGAGCCGACTCGTTCATTCGTTCGCGAATTCGTGAGACTCGCGCAAGGAGAACTTCGTCGCGTTGAGGAGAAAGGAGACGTCTCGTGTGTCTTTCTCGCTCTTGTGGTATCAATATCAACCCCAGTTTGGCAATCAGGAGTGAAATTGACTCAAGCACAAAAATTGAAGTCCCATAGTTGTTAAGAAGGCCCTGAATATTGACATAATGCAGTTTTGCGGTGTTTTCTTATTTGGTCGCATAGAATTGCAAATGCTGCTGCATGATGAAAGTACAAATATCAATGCATTGAAGAATACAGTCTATGTTAAAATATGATTTTTTTATTTGCAGAATTTTTTTTGTTTTTAATATATGCACACATGTGACATCTTTCAATATATTAACATTCATACTTTCACTCAGCAAAAGCATTTGCAATTTTATGCAACCTAAACAGAAAAAAATAATATAAACTACGAAACTGCATTATGTCGGTAAAATAGTAGATACAGCATCCCCTTAATCTTGAGTTATTGCCCATAAAACAAAATTATTTTTTTAAAGAATGCAAAATTTTTTTACTTTTTCCTGTGTTTAGAATCAATACACCATCTTCTGTTATATTATGAATTCTGTTTTATCCATTTTTATCTATTTTATCTATTTTAAAAATAATTATTGCGACAAAATTTTCAAATTTATCCTTTGTATTCTCAAAACCATAATATCTGTATACTGGATAAGCACGTTTATAGACATTTAATTAAGGACATATACACAAATTATTGAATCTCACAGACACAGTAGGTCAAACTAAAGCAAAAAATAACCATACTAATAAAGAGGTAAAACCGATTTCGGTGATTTGCATGCCTTCTGGTGGAATTAGAAATATTTTAATTGGCATACGCGCTACAGGTGTACCGGTGAGGAAAGAATAATCGATCGAATTAATTAATAAAGGAATCAACGGCTATTTCAATATAAACGTTGTTCCAGTGAACTAATGTTATACAATCAAAATAGTGCACACGGAAAAATATTTCACCGAAGAAAATATTTTACTAAAAAAAGCGATTACTCGATTCACTTTTCTTCTGTTAGATAATAGTTATTTTCAACAAAGAATATTTCCTTCATAACAGCCTATCAGTACTCTTCACGAATTTTAAAAAAGTCTACTGCCATGTTTCAAAAAGAAAAATGTATTCCCCTCACGAGAATATTACAAGACCTTATCAGAGAGAAAATTGGTTCGAATTTGTGCGAACCGAATCTGCGTTTCGATTTAATATTCTTGATTAAAATACTAAACTTACTAGTATTCAGAACGTATCTTGAATAAAGTTGATGCTTATGATGAACTTATGATAACTTGCGCGTATCAAGCGACACGAGAGTGTCGCGAAGCCAAGTGCAAGCGCGAAGCAATTCACGGCCGACGCGACGACCTTAGTTGAACACAGGCAAAATTTCGCGTTCGACTATAACGGCTGAACGGATGAGGTTTTGGATGGGTTTAATTAATTTACATTACTTGGGTTTACATTACTTCATAAAACTGTCTTTACTTTTTCTCTAGAAGCTGAGATATCTTAGCTCAAAGTCAGAAATCAGGAATTTACATGTAAAAAACGTCGTCGTCGTCATCGTTTCTATACAAAAAATGTCAATTGACTATGTTTCTTCGTTAATATAAACTTACGGGATACCAGCAACACTTACTCGAACGCAGCGTGTTTTTTTCCGTGTGCAAACTCTACAGCGTAAAAATCTCGGATATTTACGTTCGTCGACGAGAGTCTCCTCTGAAACATTAGCGGAACGAGCGATAAAATTTCGACGCGCAATTAATTATTGATACACGCGCGACCCGATGATCCGCTCATGCGCGCTTAAGTGTAATATACTATATATATATATATATATATATATATATATATATATATATATATATATATATATCACGAATATATTGTTACGTCCTGTGTTCGCGGCAACAATATGTATATCACGAATATTGACTGATGCATCTCGACGCGGAGAGTACGTATCCCCGCGTCGGAGACGGAGTCATCGCGTATCAATTTCACGATACGCAACGTGGATATTTGACGTGGAGCAAGCAATACCGATTGTCGTCGTTGTCGTCGTTGTCGTCGTTGTCGATGGAGCGTCCTCGATACGCGGACTTTAATTTATCACAGTATCGAGATACAGGTTACGAGAAACGGCGCGACGGCTTGGTAATCTGGACGCGCGGGTGATCCCGAAGGAAGCACACGGATATGATCAGTCGATCGATTGATCCCACGATACCGATAGCCAGCATTGCGCACCCGTCCATGGGACCTCGTCCGATTCGATTTCGCGGATCCACTCCTCGATAACGAAATGTGTTTGATTTCGAAGATTTACTGCTCCTACTTTCGTGTTCTCTCTCTCTCTCTCTCTCTCTCTCTCTCTCTCACTCACTCCCTCTCGCTCTCTCCTCATATAAGAGACATCGACGATATGGGATATACTAGGACAGTAATGGCGAACGATATCGGTACAATCACGCGGAAACCAAACCATAATCCAGAAATGCGATGGAGGGTGAAACTACGGTCCGAAACTCGCGCGAATTGTCAGCCTGTAATCTTCGTTGTTCGAACGCGATTAACGTGTGATAATTGCGCGCTGCATAAATGAAAATAAACGCACACATGAAATTAAAGGACCTGACATAGGATAACGTCGACTATGCGCGAGCTTTAAGTTATCACAGTACTGAGATACAGTTTGTGCGAGAAGCGACGCGGCAGTCTGGCGAATTTCGGAGGAAATTCTGCCATCTTTCGCATACATTGTTTTATAAAATTCTAACGAAATAGAAGTACAATCGTTTCATTCGACCTAAAGAATCCGAAATTTGTTATCGCACAACCCGACATATTATTGCTAATTATTTTTCTAAATACCCAAAATAGTCTTACCTGTGCTCTTATTGCGCTACAAAACCTGTGCACAGGCTCGCTATAATTACTTAGTTTTGATTGACAATTTCTCAGTGGAGCAACGCATTATCGTGAGATTCGAGCTAAAAAGCGGAATCTTCGTTCCCCGACATTTCCGTTTCTCGAGTCATTGCGTTTGCGCCGGCAATATCGCGACGACAGTCGTGCAAACGTCCGTTACCTTGAGCGTGTCCTTCTCCTCCATCGGTATACTGATCCCTCCGCCGGGATCTGCCTCGGACGTGCTGACGTCACTGGCCAAGTCGCACGTGACAATCGGTATCTGGACCGGCTGATTCTCGATCGTCGCGACGTTCTCCATGACTGATCCCGGAGGCTTCTTGGCGTCGGTCGCCGGCGTGCTCTGAGTGAAGCTGGTCTGCCTGACGTCCGGCGATTCCGGCGGCACCGCCGCCCGCGGACGCGGCTGCTTCCGGATGCCGCGGCGCGCGCGGGCCTTCGCGGCGAAGTATATGCGTATGTACACGAACACCATGATGCAGGATGGGATGTAGAAGCTGCCCAGGGCGGAGTATATAACGTATCCGATGTCCTCCGACAGCTGAAACATAAACGAGCGCGCTCGTTAGGTCTTTTTAACGCCCCGGAGAGGATTAGCTGCTAGAATCTGTGTGCGGCGGCTAAATCTCGCTAGCAGATAGGTACTTCACTGAGAGAAATTATTCGATAAGGAATTAACAAACGGATATTTAAGGTGACCAGATTTCCCAGTCCTGAATTCGGGACACTTCATAAATGTGTGAAGCGGAGGGGGGGAGGGGTAAAAAGATCCGAAAATTATTTGACAGTTATTGAAAACGATGACAAATCAGTGTCTCGAATAGCACTCGAAAAAATTCGGGACAAAGGGTAAAAAATCGGGTGTGTCGAGAATAGCGATGTGCGATCGCCGAGGCGTATCGTGAAGAGGTTATTTGTAAGTAATCTTTTCGTTTCTCCTCGCGGTATATATAAAGTGACCAGATTTCCCAGTCCTGAATTCGGAACACTTCATAAATGTGTGAAGCGGGGGACGGGCGGATGGAGGTAAAAAGATCCGAAAATTATTTGACAATCATTGAAAATAATCATAACAAATCGGTGTCCCGAAAACATCGAGACACCTAGTCACCTTAGGATATTTCCGATCAAAATACCGATGAATTTTTGTATCCGATCAGGAAACATCCGAGGAGAAATATTCATATTTTTTTTCAGATTCATATTTTTTTTTATCGGTTTATCTGATGAAATTATGAAAGTATTCGATATATCGAAGTATTCGAATAAGTATCGGAAGTATTCGATTAAATTTAATGGGATATAAAAATTTATCGGTATTTTGATCGGAAATATCCATTTGTTAATTTTTTATCTCGCAGTATAATCCTCATACTTAGGTTAGATGTGAGCAAGCTAATTTGTTTGTGGACATTGCGCTGTTGCTGCAAATTTTATATATCACAGACAATGTTCTAGCAGATACAAAAGCAGCAATAAATTTTAGATTTCTATGACACTGAAAATTCTACCTGGAAAAGTACAAAAGAAATAATACAACTAAATTAAAAGAAAAATAATACAATTTAATATTTTAAAGGCACTTAACATTTAAGGCTGTTATAATGGCATAATCCTATTATGCCTTTGAATGTATAAGTTCGAATTAGTATAAAACATCATATATAATATTATATATCATAGATTGTGTCGCGCGATTTGCACAGATACTTAACTAAAACGAGTGATTTTGAGTTGCGGGCGCGATTCCATTGTGCATTGCATTGCGATTTAAAAGAAGAAAATCGCAGTACTCGCGATATATCGGAAATTCGTACATCCTTGAGTGTGGATTCACGTCTAACCGGAGATATGCGTCTCCTACGTGTACGCGTAGGCGACAGACAGTGCCGTCACGTCGCTGTAAGAGACGACGCGTTTGCGCGCGTAAATACCAGCGGCGAAATTTAATTTTACTTAATTCGCGCGTGCGGTGTCGCGTGTACTCACACACATGCACACATGTGTATACGTGTAACGAGCTCAAACTATATTCAAATTCACGTCGCCGCGTAACTCGCGCGCGAGCGTGCGAATCGTTTTACAGTCAGGGGGCGCGAATGCATTTTCCCACGGCGTGTCGTACTCAGGTTAATGCAATTGCTATTAGCAGTGCAGCCGCCGCCGTCGCGACGGCGACGACGGCGCCGTACCTCGGTATCTTGGAAGTTGTCCCGGCTCGGGTGTAGCGTGCTACTCAACGTAATGTCTCGTTACGACGAATTACGAGACCGCGATTAAACGAAAGCGAGCGATTCGTGTCGGAATGCGCGCAAGAACGCCGGCGAGATATGCGAAGTGTAACACATTGCAGACGCGTGTAATGCTACTTTCTCTTGCTCCTTCTCTGTCACTCTCTTTCTTTTTCTCTCTCCTTCTCTTAGAGGGTTGAAGAACAAAGTATTTTGTTGACTGTCTTTTCTTCATTGTCTTGTGCAATCGAAAGTAATCGTATTTATATTCAGAATTTAAGTTCAGAAATGAGAGAGAGAGATGCTGTATATAGAGAATCTAATAAATATACCGTCACTTTATCGTGAGTATTCTTCAATGTAAGACAGAATTATTTAAAAAATCGTATAGATGTCATGCCATTGATTGCTCGTATCAAATCCCTCTTGAAATCAGAAAAGTCGACTCAATAAGTGGGTTTAAAAACAGATACTTTCGGTGTCTATTTCAACAGCAATGTGGAGATGATATATAAATTGCTTAAATGAAATAGTAAATTCTGTGTTTATTTTTATGTGGTTTTTTTTTTACTTAATAGCTTGCATTGCTTTATTTTTACTTTCTATCTGATGTATTTCCTGCCTTTGTACAATTTAAAAACGATGTAATTATTATTGTTATTATTACTGACGCTTGACGAGATTTAATCCTAGGATGCAAATAAACAACGCTTTATCTATCTATCCATCTTTTTCTCCTTCTCTCTTTTCCTTTCTCTCTATGTCATTCTTTTTCTTTTTTCTCCTGCTCTGTCATTCCCTTCTTTTTCTCCTTTCTCTATTGTTCTCTCTATAAATATGCAACTGCAACATTCCAAAATATCGCACGCACAATTCTTTTCGAACAATATAACACACTGATAGTATAATTCACAAGGTATTTTAGATTTTCACGATGTTGTCCAACACTTTACTGCTTGTTTTCCGGGTTTGGATCGTGTTTTTCTTATGTTTGGTTCCGACGTTTCGTGAACATTTCAGTTCACTTCTTCAGACAGCAGGGCGACCTGAAACTGGTCGCCCATCAAATAATTCACGAGGCTTGTATCACGCGACTGGGACCAAAAGTTCCGCCTTCTTCGACCAAAACGCGTTTGGTTCGTTCACTATCGGGTTAATTGAACCAAATCCTTTTCTCCATGTAGCATTAGAGCGATGCATGCCCTGCATGAAAGATGTAATTCGAATTCTTCTTCACACGTGTTTTAAAGTAATTGGAAAACGTTCTATTTTCTCTTCTGGAGGAAATAACTTCCACGCACGGTTTTATTCTTTGCTCTCAAAATTTCTTGCTGCACTTTCTTGAAATTCTATCCGTAATATAAGTATATAAGTATATCCTATAAGTACTCTTCAGACAAGAGTACCGTGGTACTTCTTCGGGTTGATGAATATTTATATCTTCGAGGAAAATTCCTTGCACGCGCGCGCCGCGTGAGAAAGGCCGTGATGAGTACACGTCACGAATTTCCAAGCCGATGGTAACCGGGTTGTGGTTAATTTTAATTCGGACGTTTAGCTATGCACAGCTAGTTTTTAAGCTGTTGCTCGATGCAACCAATGGCACGCGGTCGATGTATATATATAGAGACGGACATACATTTTGCAACGAGCTAATTGTGGAGCGTGCATCGTAAAGCAGCGATCTTTACTCTCTCTCTATTACTGACATATTTTATTATTTATTTTACAAACGTCTTCCTTACCGCCTTTCTCTCTCTCTCTCTCTCTCTCTCTCTCTCTCTCTCTCTCTCTCTCTGCCGCAGCGGCACGTTGTTCTACAGGAATAGTCGATTGACCTTTACGTGCATCCCGGTCGAGCTTATTAATGAGCGCTATCAGCGGTCATTAGTTCTCTCACATCGCTGGACGTGCTAAAACCGCGCTCGGTGTGTGGCCGCACGGAAAACATCGGCTTATGCGTGTCACCAGCGAGCGAGACCAAAGAAGAGAAAAGAGAGATTCGCGTTTTTGTGATGCGCGACACCTCGATCGGATATTAATTGCGCGGGATCTCCCACCAACTGGCGGAAATTAAAGCTTCTCGCTGAGCGAGAAGCGGATTTCATTTCTCGCGGAGAGGGGAAGAGCGCGCGCTTCCGTCATTGTTTTTCATTACGCTGGCCTCCACGGCGACGAAGCCCTCCCTCGGGACGCGGCTCTTGGCGCGACAGGGAAAGAAATCATCCGAGGTGATTTCCCGAGGTGGCAGGTGCGACTCGGTCGCACGAACGCGCGAGATAACGAGCGACTCCTTCAGAAAGTCAAATTTATGAAAAGAGCGCGCGAAGGTCGACGCGCGCGCAGCGCTGGGCGCTGCTTGTTTGCCGGCGCAGATTTGTCCTTGTCTTCTCGCGCTGGGAGACTAATGGAGAGCTTCGTCAGAGAGAGAGAGAGAGAGAGAGAGAGAGAGAGAGAGAGGGAGAGAGAGAGAGATATCATGCATAAGCTTTTCCTCGCGCAGTCCCGTGGGCAAATGCCTCCGCATGGCACTCGAAGCGATTAATCGACATATTTGTCGAAATCAGGATTGTGTCGATTAATTCACTTCAAAGCAAAAGGATGTTCTCGAGAGAAAGAGATAGAGACAGAGATAGATAGATAGATAGATAGATAGATAGAGAGAGAGTGAGAGAGAGAGGAGGGAGGGACGGGGAAGAGACAGAAGTGTTAGTTGCGGTTTCTTCGCAAGTAGTGCTAGTAATAGGCAATGCAGAGTCGACGACAAAGCGCGGGCGAGAATTATCCCTCCGCTTTGAAAGAATCCTCTCCATTTAAGCGCGGGATTGAAGAGCAAGCTAGAGGAAGCCGGCGAGGCGGGTAATCCGATGTCATTTTCGTCGAATGAAGATTACTCGCGCTTTCCGCCGCTTGCGAGATTCGCGCATTTACATTTTGACGATCCATCGTTGAAAAAAAAGAGGGCGAAAAAAGCGACCAGTCGCCCAGTGATTCCGCGTGAACCAATAGCCCTCCTCGTCCTCCCTCTCCGCAACCCCCTTCTCTCCCACTTCCTCTCTTCCTGCTTCACTATCGTCCCACTCGCGCGAGTGTACATACGCGCGGCAGCGCACGCGAAAGTAACGAGCAATCCCGCGAGCGGCGAATGAAAATTCATGAAAATATGAATAGTAAGGTCAGGCCGCGGCGGGACGAGAGCGGAGACAGCGCGGTCCAGCCGGAGGACGCAGTCTGAAAGCGGAATTCGTGGGGAAAAAGCGGAAATCCGCGGAACGTCCCCGCGGGAGATACCTGTCGCGTTCATGCCGCG